AAGATTTAGTGTTCAAATAATCTGTAAATTCTAAACGTGTTAACATAGCATTGCTACAGACATTCTTTATCAAATGTTGTTAATTACACCAAAAAGTTACAACTTGGCAGACATAAAGATAAAGATTTAGTGTTTAAATAACCTGTAAGTTCTAAACGTGTTAACATAGCATTTTATCAAATGTTGTTACAAAAAGTTACAACTTGGCAGACATAAAGATAAAGATTTAGTGTTCAAATAAACTATAAATTCTAAACGTGTTAACATAGCATTGCTACAGACATTCTTTATCAAATGTTGTTAATTACACCAAAAAGTTACAACTTGGCAGACAAATTAATAGTTTTACGCTGTGAATAGTTTTTCCACCCCAACAAATAGAGACTTAGCCACACGAGAAATCAGTTATGCAGGCTGAAACGAAGTAATAACTGATTTGTCTGTGTTCGATCATGTGTGTGTGTGTACGCGAGTGAGTCACTGCAGTTGTATAGAGTTCCACGACTGAAGACAGACTGAACGGTACCAAAATTAAGAGAACAGTGTATATAAACATGTATCATTACTAATCCCTAAATCTAAATGCTTCAGCTCTATTTCTAGTACATTTGAAAGTTCTTACCCATTCGAATGAACATAAAGTGTACACATATAGTGTGTTAAAGTCCAATCTCTAGAAATATGATTGTTTTAAAAAATAATGACACTACAACCTTTTCGAAATGGATTAAATTTCACCACAAACACTTGAATATCGTTTCGTTACTTAAAATTAATCACTACAGCTCTAGATGTATTTTTCTATAGAAAACATAGGCCAAACAAGAAGCTAGTGATGTTATAGTGTATCTGGCAATAATAAATTTAATCTGCCCTTGAAAACCTCTCAACAAAAACTAACAGGCAAACAGTAGAATTCTGTTAAAGATTTATCAAGCTCTGAGGATGTTATACCTTTTCTGATATCCTCTTAAGCTTAGAGTTTCAAACTCCAATATTTTGAACTAAGATGACTAACAAACACTTTCTTACCTTAAACCTCACCGAGTCCATCGTCAGGTATTTAACAAATAATGTCGTCCATTACAAAAAGGCTTTCAAAACTCGATGTCAGTGTTTCTGTTAGTTTGAGTGTAAAATGGTTCCAGCTTCCAGCGTTGTTGATGTCATGTCTGGAGACTAAAATCCTAAAGCTGACGTTTCGAGGAGGTTGTGAAATATGTAGTGAGAAAAGATAAGTCCGGTTAATATCAATGTCTGTTATTTAGACAAACAAATACTGTTCAGATTCTGAAAAGTGTTTTCTTACTGAGTGAAGCCTTCTCATATATATTCCTCTTTGTTTTAATTTTCCAGAATTACTTTACAAAGTTACCGGTTATATTTATATGTCTGTCTGTCTGTCTATATGAACACAAGACATCTACTACAAATGCCTGGCGCATTTGCTATATCTAAGCCATGGTACTACAATTTTTCTGTCTCGTTAGTTGAATTTTTATGGTTACATTGAAAGATTGTCTTTCTGCTTCCCTGGTCGTGAGTAGACCCAAACTGGACTTGTCCTCTTGTCCGCGCCCTCCATCCTCCTCACGCCTTTGTCTGTGTGCAAGAAAGCCGGTCCTTCACCCGGGCAATCTGTGTAACAAGAACGCATGCGTACACGCAGACGCACAAGGCTCACCTTTAGATATCTAGCTTGTTCCATGAAATAAACGACATTCACTGTCACACGAGAACTTATCGATCGGGTTGAGTCGATTTTAAAACATGGTGGGAGAACGATTAAAGGTAGTCTTTTGTCAAGTTTCAATTCTAGTCTACTACTGTGTGAACCAGTTAGTAGTGACATTTAGTTTCTTATCGTGTTAGTGTCTGCCCGAGGGACAAAGAAAGTGCGCGTGTGAATGTGTATCCCTAAACAGAATATTGGACACTATATAGACGTAGCTTACCTAACTAAAGAACTAATAAATGTTTTCCTATGTCATTAGTTACCACACGTACGGAATATTGATATCAAAAAGCTAATCTCAATGAATAAAAAATCCATTATGGAATATTATTATCAAAACGATAAACTTAATAAACCAAAACTTGGATAAGCCATTGTGATACAAAGAAGTAAAAAATCATTTACTTTGTTAATAATAAATTAGAGAGTATGAGAAGTAAAAAAATAATAAGTATGGTAACTGGTGTTTCACAGTTGATTTTACATGCGTTTCAATAAAATCTTAAAATAAATTAGTTTGAAGGTCTGAGAACTAAGCACTGTTAGGCGTATGAAATGAATGCATCGACGAAACAGTTAATTAAGGCCTAACAAATTAGCTGTTAGACTTACGGTGCTTTAGAATAACAGAGTTAATTACAGCGTTTAACAGTTTAATCTAGTTTTTTACTGACTACCATTTTTAACGAATGCTTAAATTTGATAAGCGATAAACGTAAAGTTTCCACCATTTTTGTCTGAATATTATATTATTTAACGACATTGTTCATCTATGACGTCACTTATTGTATGTGAAATCGATAAGTAGCTAAACATAGATTCTTAAATGGCTGGTTGGTTTCTTTGCAATAAAACATTCGGTCAGGAAAAGACGTTTCAACGGGGCGTATCAACTAGTGATCAGAGCATAAAACAACGTTGCTCCAATTCGTATTAAAACACCTTCCCCTTTTGATGCTACTAACTAACGTTGTATTCGTTTAGTTAATACAATAATTTAAGTGATTAATGATTATATAGTTAATAAGCAAGCTTAGAATCACTTTTGATTTGACAACTTGTTACTAGAGAGATAACTGATATGTTCATGATTAAATTAAGTAAAAAAAAATACACTTATTATCTTCCTTAACATGAGAAAAAAAATCCTTGGAGGATTTACGAAAACGACAAATTTCGATGCTTCATTATATGGAGTTTTTTTTAGATATAGGCCTAACAAAAATATAGATATATTTTATGTTTCCTAACTCACGTGTTATATTAACACATTAGAATATAATTATAACTACTGATAAATAGATTATATGTTCCCCACAAAAAAGTACAACTCCTACGTTAATTAAGATGACAGTTTATTAAATCTCCTAGAACATTTGTTATCGTCTTTAGCACCCGATATGTATGAGGGCTTCTATCGTTAAAAATCGGGTTTCGATACCCACGGTGGGCACAACACAGATAGCCCATTCTGTAGCTTAACAAAAGCAACGAACATTATTTTATTTTTGTTCGTTAATGTTGTTTTATACAGTATTGAAACATTAATGTGTATTAAGTTTATGTTTCTTTGTACTGTTTTAAATGAGGGAACACTATTAGTTCTTGGGGTTTTATTTTCATGACATAATACGTCAAGCTCATATACATACTAAAGCGTTGGTAAGCCTATGGTCAAGGTCCTGATTGTCGGTAACATTTAGATGGTATCAGGTTTCTTATCACAGTTCCCATTTTGTGATTTAACGAATCATAAATTTGTTTCTCACGCTGAGCATTCTTTCCTATTAATAACAGTTGTGAAAGAAAGACTTCTCCAGGCATATATTGTAAGTGTTTTAACTTAGTATATGGTTTTACAGAGGTTGAGTACGTTATATTAAAAGAGCTTTACCACGTCGCGATGTCCTGTCATGCTCTATCTGACGATAGTGCATTTTAACAATGGCCCTGGAACTAGAAAAAGATCCATTCTATGGCTGTTATGTCATTAGCACAACACTCCTCCCTGCTTGCTTTCCATAATCCATCTAGTGTACGACAACAGTGGTTTCCCAGCGCCCGTTTTAAAAGTTGGAATGTAAGGAAATCCATAGGCGCTGCGTCCGGCGACTTGAAAAGTATGCTTTTCAATGAAAAGATCATTAATAGTTGTTTCATTCAGCTACTTGATGTATGGGATGATTAAATGGATGTGCGTTGGAAACAATTGGTGTTCATGTGACATCTGACACTATTCTAGACAAATCTCCTTCTTGATTATGTTTCATATTGTAGCTGGGGCAAGTAGACCGCTATTGTCACTTTTTTGTGTTCATGGATTCTTACCTGTTACAAGACGTCGCGCTTTCTTTACTACAACTGGAGTACGACTTGTTGCAGGTCTTTTTTTTAGTAGTCCTAGTTGATCCATATTCTTTTCTTTTCCAATGCTGATAAACACAAGGAATATCCTCATCTTGGAAATTCTCAATCTTCCATCTGAATATATTTTTATAATCTGACGTATGAATATTTGAAGAAGCTGATGCATATCATTCTCAAAAGTGCTCAATTATCACTGGCATAAATACTACCTACAAAATACCAAACAATGTCAAAATGTAGTTCTGATATACGCTATTCAACCAGGAATTAATAACGACTGTGGGTTTTAGATGACTTACTTATTCAAATCGTATTAATATAACGTATTCAACCTTCTGTAGGACTAATCTATGTTTCATAAGTCTCGTGAGATATTAATGGGTTTATGGCCGAAAACAGCGTTAACAGCGAGAGTGCCTAACTGATGAAGCAATACATTCTAATCTTTGTTAATAAAAGCGGATGAATATAATACTTAATTAGCTACGTTCATTAATAGATTGTTGTTTTTTTTCATTTTTGAACAAAGTAGGTAGTTTGCTATGATCAAAAGTTAATATTAATTAAAAAGCCTAGAATATCCAAAAAGGGGGAAAATGATGTAAAGGAGACACTTGTTCTTCTGTTATAGTGTATTTTCTGCGTCTCTTCCTTGACGAAGTGTTACATATGAGGAATTGAATGAAACAGCAAATAAAGACGGCATGTCTACAACATTTATGTATGTATCATGAACAAGATAACCTTCATTGCACAGTTGGACAATTAGAGCAAGGCCGGCATGGCAAGATGGCTAGGGCGCTCGACTCGCAATCTGTGGGTCGTAGGTTCGAATCCCCGTCACACC